CGGGGGGGGGGGGGTTGGTACTGTCAGTTTCAGCCTACTTGGATTGCCTTCTGATGAGAGCATACTTTTTGGCACAACTTAGGTACATAAAGTTGCATTAGAAAAACCTGTGATATACACCATTTTTATTGTTTTCTTAATCTTCACATTTACATACTATTTTCATAGTTGTGCCATTTATTTGGAGCATTATTATGTGTGAGTTTAAAACATATGTGTATTACTTTTTTGAGACTGGAAGTAAGCAGATACAGGGATTGATTTCATATATTGTGTCAGCCCTTTTTCCCATTCATCATACATTCTATACCGCAATTTTTTAAAACAGCATAGAGTAGATATCTAATAGGTAATAATGCTGGAAAACCCTTTTCTTCATATTTAATGCCTTATCAACCTTAACTCATTCTGAACTTTAGTTTTTCTGATCTTATATCTACAGTTCTGGACTATCTCATATAGCTGTCTTTTATGACATGATTGTCAGTCTCATTCAGTGGGCTTACTTCTTTAATTTCTTCCTTGTAGAGAGGTATTTAATCTATCAGTTCTTCTTGTACCACCTCATTTGTTTTGATAACTCTTTTTTATCTCATTTGAGATGATGTGAACTGTATAACACTAGCCCTTTTAATATTTTAAGGGACACAATGCTGTCCTTTGTATGTTTATACAAAAATAAGTCCTACCACATTGAGTGGGTTTGAGTTGGATAACTGCATAAATTGGCAGCCAAAGCTAGATCAATATGATTCTCAGAGGAAGCAATGTTGCTGCCATCAACTAGCGTGGAAACTTGCTAGCATTGGCTAATCTTCAGTCAGTTTCCTGAAAAGCTGATTGGGCAAGTTCATCAAAAGCTGTGTTAGCATGTGAAAGATGATTCCTTTCCATGAAAAATATCAGACCTACCTCATCCAAGAATCTCTTTAGATCTATAACTGGAGACTGTAAATATGTCCATCTTGACTTAATACTGTTAAGTCTTGAAAAATTCTCAATGTAACAACATCAGAATAAAGCTAATTATAAAGTATAATTTATAAGCCATGTCTGTCTGCTGCTAGCTCTGTGTTTTGCCTTTTACTAAAAATGGCTTCTCCATATTTAAGTACTCTAGCCTCGAATGCTATAACTTGTGCCATATGATTAACCATCCCAAAATGTTACTGATCATAAGAAGGAAAGCCCCAGCCAATAAAAAGAATAGGGAAACCAAAATTCTATCCAGTAGAACATATATTGTATAATGGACTTCTGGTGCAAGCCAGTTCTCCACACTGTATGCCTTCTACATTAATGAAGTTGGAGTTGATTACTAGTTTCTAGTTCCTTACTTGTATGAAGTTTTGCAAGTAAAATGAAAGCAGACTTAAAATTTATATCAGGTTGCAATTAAAAATTAGAACAGAACAATCACATACCACTTTTTTCTATATTTATGGCATTCTGCTGTTCAACATGAGTAATAAATTCCTCTAATAAAATTATTTTATGCAAATATTTGCAGGAAAAGAATTATCCCAGATTTATTCCCTCTTGCTCTGCTTTTAAATGTTTATTTTCATGAAGAGGAAAACACAAGAAATCATCGGAGAGATAATAATTTGTATAGATTGTGTTTTGTTCAGCTGAAAGATTTCGGTGCACAAACAGCAGCAGGCCCCTCTTACCCAAGATAAATAGAGAATAACAAGGTTTCTGTACCTCAGGATAAGCTTTTGGTGACCACAGAGTTATTTTATTGATTTACAGTTCAGGACCAAGGAGTAAGGAAAGAGATAGCAATAATGATAACCCAGTGCTAAATTGTTCATAAACAATCAGATTCTGGGTTGGGGTTTTGTGCATACCCTTGCTGTGATCTATTGAGATCCTTGACACACATCTTTACCATAAATCAAAACCTTTCATGATAGGAGACCATCACTGAAGGATTAAAACTTTCCATATGCACAAGGCAGTAGAGACCATGGCAAAGAAGGGCTTGTTGAACCATAGCAAGAAGTGCCATACATATTTTTTGTGCAAAATTATTATTAGAGGGAATGTTTTATCTTGAAGAGCAATGAATCCTGATCAAAGAGATAATATGTGAGTATTTTTAGACTTTATTTTAGATATATGATTATTTGTTAGATCTACATTCATTTCACTGGCTGAGGTCTCTTTTGAAGTTTTGCATAAACAAGGAACTAAAAACTAGTAATGCTTGTTCAGAGTTACTTTTAGGAGCAGCATATCTACAAGTGCAGAGCATCATAAATAAATAAACAAACAAACAAACAAATAAATAAATAAATAAATCTTTCTGAATTCCCTCCAAAGTAATATGCATTGGACTCTGGAGGTTTTAACTTGCAGATTTAATATAGTTAGAAATGAACATTGTGTAGAAACAGGACTCCTCTGGCACAAAATGAGTTCCTCCAGGTATGTCAGGCTCAGCCCAAGAACAACAATGAGACAGTCCAGTCCAGTATAGTTCCTTTATTAGCTTGTACCTAATAGACAGAATCTCGCCAGACTAAACCTATGCTAAAGCAGCTAGTGGCTATACCCCACTATATACTCATATATACTCAGCTTCTTCACCTTCTCATGGTCCTGCTGAGGGCTGAGGAAGCACTTGCTCAGGAATGTTCCCCCTCGCTCCTGATAACCTTGATCCTCCATTCCAGTATCCTCCTTGCACATGCCTTCCATTACATCGTAGTTCAGAATGACATACATAGTTGCTCTTCTTTTTTTTCCTTAGAAAACTATAAAGGTATGTGATAGATTGGTTCATCAGTACAGGGTACATACAACATCCAGAACCCATGTTTCAGTGACTGTTAGGGAAGATTGTAATATGGCAACTGAAATGGATATTAATGTTTTACTTTGTATAGCTTTATTATGATTTGTGTTTTAAATATTTTAAATAAATAAGTTTAATTTGATGTAAATATAAATTAGTGCTGGGGTAGGTGGCAAAAGAATGTGATTCCTTTATACAGCAGTCCTAGCAAATCAGATCAATGGCTAGGAATAATCATGGATATATGTTATCTCAAGGATCAAATACAATACATCTCCAAATACCAGTTGTCTGGAAACACAAGTAGGACAATGTTGTGTTTGTGGACTCAAATAAGAATCTGGTTGCTGTTGTTGGAGCAGGATGCTGGAAAAGAGAAGCTTTGATTTGATTCAGCTTTGCACTTCTAATGTTCACAGAGTACTATTAAAGTTTAACTTTTGTACACATATGAGTTTTACTGTTCTAAAATTTGCACAAAGAACAGTTTCATGTTATTAAGCTATTGTGCAGAACCTGAATCTTGCAAATCCCTCTTTTTTTAGGCGTCTTGATGCTGAACTTGGAAAATCTGTGGTGTATCAAGAAACCAATGGAGGTATGTCAGCAGAATAAAAATATGTGAGATAAAAGCCTACATACAGTCAGATAAACATTTTAAGATGCTATGGCATATGCAAGCTCATCCTGCTTTGTTACATTTAGAAACTCACACAAAAAAAAACCAACTACTTGACCAGACCAATCTAGTCTACATGAGTAATAATAATTTATTAAATTTGTTTGCCACCCAACTCTCAACGACTCTGGACAGCTTACAACAATCAAATTATAATAAAAACAATAAAACATAAAAGTTAAAGATGGCAAGCGTGATAAAACTCACTCTCCCTTGCCAAAGGCCTGGGTGAAGAGCCAGGTCTTCACGGTTTTTCTAAATAACAGCAGAGTGGGGGCATCCAGATCTTGGGGGGAACCTTGTTCAGGAGGGCGTGCACTGCCTGAGAAAAGGTGTGCTTCTGGGCACACCTGACATTGTTTAATCGGACGAACCTGGAGCATGCCAACCCTGCAGGATTGAATTGGATGGCAGATGGGCGGTCCCTAAAGTAACCAGGCCCTATGCCATGTAGGACCTTATAGGTAACAACCAGCACCTTGAATTGCACCCAGAAGCAAACTGGCAATCAGTGCAGCTCATGAAGCAGAAGTGTTACATGGGTATACCAAGGCATGCCCATTACTGCTCGCACCACTGCATTCTGGACCAGTTGAAGTTTCTGGGTGCAATTCAAGGGCAGCCCTGTGTTCAGCACATTGGAGTAGTCAAGTCACGAGGTGACTAGGGCATGAGTGACTGTGACCTCCAATCTAGAAAAGGGCGCAACTGGTGTACCAGATGGAGTTGTGCAAAGGCATTCTTGGCCACAGCTAACACCTCTTCAAGCAGGAGCTGCAAATCCAGGAAGGCCCCCAGATTGCATACCAGTCTTGAAGGGGGAAGTGCTACCCCATCCAAGATCAAAGATTGAATATCCCCAGATCTGGGTGACCGAAACCCCCTCAGCCACAGTAGGTATAAACAAAACATCATACAAAAAACAGCATACATGTTTGAAATCTAAAGATAGTTTCTGTTTTTGAATCTATTCATTCTTCTCTGATTTTAAGACGGCCAGTGAGATTAGTCCTTTTTTGGTTATCTTGTTGCTTCCACAACATTTTGAAACAAAAACAATATTTCTATATTTTTTATATTTATGGCTGGGTAACTATTGAACTAGATTCATTTCTGCATGGTGAACTTCTTGTGCTATCTTTATTCTTATAAAATCTGCTATTATAGGCTTTACAGTGTATTTCTAAAAATAATATTTATAGGGGGAAGTGCTACCCCATCCAAGATCAAAGATGGAATATCCCCAGATCTGGGTGACCCAAACGCCCACAGCCGTTTTTATCATGTGTATAACCCCTGTTTTTCCAAGGATTCAAGGTTGTGTTTCCTACTCTTTTTATGTATGCAACAACCTTGTGAGATAAAGTAAACCTAAGAGAAAATGGATTTTACAATTGAGTGCAGATAGGAATCTCTACAGTCTCTAGTAGAAGAGCTGGAACATGAATTTTTCTATATCTGAGTTGCTATACAGGTAGTCTTTGCTTAACAACCACAATTGGGACTGGCAATTCCATTGCTGAGCGACATGGTTGTTAAACAAAACATCATGGGACTGTGACAGACTTACGACCTCACTTCCATTGTGGTTGTTAAGTGAATCACTTGTGGTTTTAAGTGAGACATCACATGACTACGACTTGGAATTCTATTGCCAGCTTTTCCATTGATTCTGCTTGTTGGAAGCTAGCTGTGAAGTGTGCAAATGGCGATCATATGACCACAGGGACACTGTAATGGTTGTAAATGTGAGGACCAGTTGTAAAGTTAGTTTTTCAGCATGATGGTAACTTCAAATGTTCACTAAACAGGACAGTTGTTAAACAAGGTCTTCCTGTATCTGCTACCAATATTTTAAATTCAAACTAGCAGTATCAGAACTTTTAAACTGAAGGTTTAAAACATTAGGGCTGTGCAGAGCTCTAGATTCAAAGGGCAAAATGTGATTTGGAACGTGCATGTAGCACCTGTTGGGAACACTTAAAGCAGCTGCATCTTTTCCTGGTCTTATGCCCAGCTGCAGAAGCAGACAACTATATTATGATGTTACTGTTGCTTATAAAAGTTGATAAATTGAGAAGAGATTAATATAGGAATTGAAAAATAATGGAAATAGCTGTCATTGCTGCACCTGGAGCAATGAGGTTTATATAGAGTAAATAATGTGTGTAGTTTTGCTTTGAGGGGATGGGAAATCTAGTGAGGTGGCTCCATTATTTTTAACATCCCTTTGCCTATTATTTTCTGTTTTAGTTTGTTTTTTAATATTTTTTATACTTTTTAATATATTTATTGACTGTTTTTTAACCCTGTTGTATGCCGCCCAGAGTTGCTTGAAAAAGCAAGATGGGTGGCTAATACATTGTGTAAATAAATAAATAATATCTGTGTTCTTGTGTTTCTCTACAGAAACAAGGGTTGAAATAAAAGAGTCAGTCAGAGGACAAGATGTATTCATTATTCAGACAATTCCCAGGTAAGGCTTTTGTAGATTGTCCTTGAACTGTGAAGGCTAAAATGCAGATTCTTGGATAAGTGAGCTGTCCTGTTGAGTTTATTGGTTCTGTGTGAGATTTCTTCTAACGATTAACAAATGTAAATACTCTTCTTCCAGCCCCATTACAATTTATCCTTGTTGCTAATAATTACTGTGATGTTAATAATTGTACTAGTTAACTTCTTCATCATTGTGGACTAAGACAACTTAGTTTGGCACTGAAAGTATTAATATGTGAAACCTGATGAAATTCCCTAGTTTGTGACTGTGTACCGAGAGAAAGGTTCTTATCTCTCTGGTCTTTTAAAGATCCTTGTTGGAGAGTGATTACTCTTTTATAAGTCCCATCAAAGCTAAAAGCTGCCAAAATATTGGTTCCTACTTGATAATTATGAATTGTAATTTAAAAGTGCAAACCAGAAGTTGTAAATGTATGAAATATTGTCTGTGAAATGCACAGTTATGATATGTAACAGTCACCTTTCCATAGCTTTTAAGTGGGGTGATAATAGTGGTTTTAGGTAATTTTTGGCTGCTTCCTTGATTACGAACAAAGCTTTCAGGTGTATAAAAGAGCATGATGAGCATGATGGAGGTAGAATATAACATGTGTTCAGACAAATGGAGGCTTATTTTCAAGGGGGCATTTACACTGAAAAAAAGTAAAAGTGATTGGCTAAAATGGAAGCTGAGTCACTGATATGTTTTTGAGAACCAGAAGACTCCCAAGAGTGCCACATCTGATGATCAGGAAAGTTTTGTTCTTCAAGTGTGGCAGAATACAGAACAGTTTGGTAGCTGTGGCCTCAGAGGGAGTTATATATTTTTTTTCTTTTTCTTTTCTTTTTTCCCCCTGGAGAGGATTTAGTATTAGCAAATACATATCTCCAAGCAGTAGCTGAAGTGTAAATATTTTTAATCATCAAGACAGCATTGATATCTTTTTTTTTTTTTAGCACAAAGTTAAGTCGTTTTCAGATCTTTAGGAAATCTTATCTAATTGCCAAACAGATAGAATATATTTGTTTTGGAATCTATGAATGCTTCAAAAGATTTGGGGAATGACCCCCACATATTTTTGTACATAAAAATTATGCCAGTGGCTGTTTTGTTTTGCAGTTGTTTCCCATGTCACTTAAAATAACAGAAACTTTAAAAGAAATTAAAGTCAGTTGGGTTAGGGAACAGATAGGACACGTCCAGGAGCACATTGGTGCCTACACAGTCTATCTCTGTCCTGGGGTGTCCTATTGGTTCAAATGCACAATGTACAAGTTAAGTGTATAGATTAATTGAATTGTATAAAAAATGTTATGTCATAGATTATGGTCTCAGATCTTGCCTGGGTATGCATTGCAAAAGTTTGCTAATGATTTACAAACTACTTTTCTAAACTGCTTATCTCCTGTACTCATATTCGTACACAGGAACTTCTGACAGGTTTCTGTAGAACCACAGGTTTCTTGTGTACATAGTTGGGAAAATATCAAGTTAAGATAAGATAGCCAACTATTTTGTTGTGGTGTTATTAAATGATTTTTAAAAATCTATTGTATTTCAATTGATAATAGCTGAAGTAATGTACCACATTGAATAATAATGTAGAAGTGTTGTTTATTTCAGATTAGCACAATATGTGAACCCAGCTATTGTGATTTGTAATCTAAAGCTTAGCTTTACGTATGAACTATTCAGCAAACCATGGTGTAATATAATGTGTAAATCTACAGTTGATTTTGTCTTGGCTACTGTAGGATTATGGGCAGAGGGATAACTGATAATTGATTTATATTTTCAATCTTTTCAGAGATGTGAACACTGCGGTAATGGAATTGTTGATTATGGCTTATGCACTGAAGACATCCTGTGCCAAAACCATCATTGGTGTAATTCCCTACTTCCCGTATAGCAAACAAAGCAAAATGAGGAAGAGAGGTTCAATAGTCTGTAAACTCCTTGCTTCCATGTTGGCTAAAGCAGGTAAATGGGCTAGTTAGAGGCAACATTGATTTTACTTCCCACAATTTGCCTTAGCAATGTTTGATCTGTCCCCAAACATGGTGACAAGAATAGCTGTTTTTGTTGAATTTTGTCTTCTACTGTAAGAATAGCTTGCTTTCTGCAGAAAAGCTACCAGAACAACTATTTAAAAAAATGTTTAGGGGAAGTCTGTAGGATTCATACTGATTTCTAATTCAAGCTTCAACAGATCACAACATCTGCCCTCAAACTATTACTGGAGCCTTCTGCCAGATGCTAACCATCACTTTAGCACCGTCATGGAAGTAATGGGAAGATAAAAATAGGAGATGAATAGCCTATATTAAGAGTTATCCAAGGAGGGAGGACAAGGAGGAACAAATAACTAAAGCAGCATTGTGCCAACAGAATGCATAAGCTCCATCCCTTTTGTACACACTTCA